TGCCGGTGTTTGTGGCTAGACCAGCAGAAAATGCATTTTTCCCGCAGTGTGCGTCGATATTAGGGAGCTCTCCCACCATATATACTAAGATCCCTGGGTGTTCAAGTCCCTTATATAAAATGGTACAATATTTGCTTATATTCTATACACAGACTCCCATATTTTAAATCACCTTTTGGTTACTTAAATACATAACACAATGTAAAGTTATGTAAATAGTTGCTATACTATGTTGTTTAGTGGAATAGTGACAAGAAACAGTCAACATGTTTTGAAACAGGTGCAATTTAAACATTGTATGTGTGTGAGTGTGTGTGTGTGTGTGTGTGTGTGTGTGTTTTACAGGAGATTGAACCCAGGGCCTCATGCATGCTAAGAAAGCACTCTACCACTGAGCTTCAACCCCATATCCCTTGCCTTTTATTCCTTAGTTTTAGACAAGGTCTGGCTAAATTGACCACCAGAGGCTGGGTTCAAATTATAATCCTCAGCCTCCCACAAATCTTTTTTGATATGTTGTGGGTTGAATGTTTACATGCAGAACCCCCAAATTCAGAATGCCAGACTATAAAGCAAAAAGAGGAGTTATCCTCTTAGTGGGGAAGCCATTGGGAGATTTTTTTCTTTTTTCTTTTTTTGGTACTGATGCTTGAATCCAGGTATGCTTTACCCTGGAGCTACATCCCAGTCCTTCTTATTTCTACTTCTTCTTCTTCTTCTTCTTCTATTTTTTAAGGCTATAAAGCTTTAATATTAACAGGTTAAAAACAAAATAATTAACAATAAGCCAAACAATAGCAACAAAGGCAGACAATAAGGAGAGTGCTGGAGATGTAGCTCAGTGGTAGAGTACTTGCCTAGCACATGCAAGGTATTGGGTTTGATCTCCAGTGACATGATTTCCCAGCTACTGAACCACATAGCCAGCCCACTGATACCTGCTGAGAAGCTGCAGTGAAGCAGCCATGGAGCTGCAGAACAGTGGCTTGGGAGGGCTGAAGCACAGGTAGTGAAGCCTACATGTGCAGGGGCCATGCAGAGCCCGCCATGCCAACATGAGCCTGAGGCCCAGCTAGCCAGGGCTGTGGCAAGCCAGGATGCACTCACCTGTTGTGCTTAGGCATTCCTGCCTGGGCCTGTGTGGGCATCTGGTCCACACAGCACTGCCGCCTGCAACACCAAGCATTCATGATGAGGTGATATCAGCCTCCCGCTTCCCAACAAGCTGGGAGAAATGGAAGTGGAGCAGGCCTGAATGGGACTGCAAGGCTAACCAGTAGCACTGGTACATTTCCAACCCTGATTAGCATAAATTTGGACCCATAGCATTGACCCCAGTGCTATATAAACCCCTGGACTAGTATCCTCATATGGAAAACCTGCTATCAGGTCCACTCTTGCCTTGTGAGATGTCTGTTTCTATTCTTAAATAAATCCTACTTTTTTTCACTCTTGCCTTCCATTCTGTGAATTTCTCTCTTGGTATCTGTGAGATAAGAACCTGGAATGATGTTGTCTGTGAGCTGCTGTGTCTGCTGCAACACTGGACTATGGAGAACATAGTCTACTGGGTTTTTTAAAATATATTTTTTTAGTTGTCATTGGACCTTTATTTCATTTATTTATATGTGGTGCTGAGAACCAAACCCCAGTGCCTCACATGTGCCAGGCAAGCACTCTACCACTGAGCCCAAGCCCCAGCCCAGCATAGCTCACTTTTAAGGGCTGCAATACATTTTGAGGCTGTAGCGGTCTGCTGCTTATGCAGACACCACCAGCTCCAGCAGAAGCAGAGAAATCTTGGTTTCACCAGCAACACACACACACACACACACACACAAAGATTATGAAGGAAAACAATACTAAAATGTAATTAGGCATTTAAAAATTGTGATACAACAAATTAATATGCTTCTTATTGATTATATTAAATAACAGACTAGTGATCCTAAGAACTACCTTAATTTCAAAATACTAACAAAATTA